GATATAGGCACGAAGATGAACGATTGTTCATACACATATTAATTAATACAAATTTTTGACCAATTTATCCTTTGAACAATTGTTCATACACATTAATTAATATATTAATTAAATTATTGTTTATTTAATCTCATTTAATAATAACCGTTAGATGAGAAAATGAACGATTAAGATAGGTTAGCATAGTTTGCACAAAAAATTGGGTTAGTATTTGAACCTGCCCCTATATATATATATATATATATATATATATATATATATATGCTCTACATCAAGCACTTAACCTTTTTGGCGCTTAAGCATTGATCTTCCTTGGAATACAACACGGGCTCTGTATATGAGACACTTAACTCTTGAGTAAGAGCTCTGTCTCTGTATATGTCATCAAAACCTTATTTTAAATTTAAAATTCGGATTTTTGAAGCATTTTTCACAAAACAATATTACCCGGACAGGGGCTGCCGTCCCTTGGACTCTGCCACCGGGGGCGCTGCCCCCGGACCCCGTCATTTAGGGGGTTTGCCCCTAAATCAAAATAAATTCAAACAAGTGTGCACTCCGCACCTTCCTTACTTGTTCGATATTTATCATGATTACATTGATCAACAATTTAATCTCATTACACTTAAATGACATTAGTGACACAAATCATCAACATGAAGTCATCAGATATTGGTTATTTCTCAGACTTACAACATAACTCTGAATTGTTCTGTTCCAAACTTAGTTATATAGTTTATTCCTAGACTTAGAATACAACTTTGAACTCCTCTTCAGAGTTACGTTTCTGAGTTATAAGAAGTCAGAATTCTTGTGACTTATAGTTATGCTCGTAGATATTTTCTAGACTTAGAAGACAACTCTGAATTTCTCTTATTCAGAGTTAAGTCCAAAGTTATTTTTCTACCTAACGATAGAATTCTGAATTTTTGAGTTCTGGAATTAATGTTCAGAGTTTTCTTTCAGAATTAATGTCCAGAGTTTTTTCCATTTAAAATACACTGTGTAATACACGGGGTCGAACCTAATATATATATATATATATATGTATATGTGTATATATATATATATGTATATATATATATGTATATACATATATACATATATATATATATATGTATATATATATATATGTATATATGTATATAGGGGAGCGATCAAATGCAAACCACTCAATTTGTACAAACCGTGCAAACCGCATTCAACCAATCATAATTTTTCATTTTGTTCATTTTTTTGTAATTATGAGAGGTTGATTAATCATTTTTATTGTGGATGGTGTTAATCATAGATATTATCATCTTCATAATTTTAATTTTAGAGAAATACATGAAACAGTTTCATTAATATTAGAGAAATACATGAAACAGTTTCATTAAGTATTATATGAAACAATTTCACAACCATATATGAAACAACTTCATCAAAAAAAAGTATTATATGAAACAATTTCACAAGATTAAACAATTTCATGAAAAAAATTTATAAGATTAAACAATGAAATCGACAGATGAAGGTGGTTTGCACGGTTTACACAAATGAGGGCGGTTTTCATATGATCACTCCTCTATGTATATATATATATATATATATGTATATATGTATATATATATACATATATATGTATATATATGTACATATATATACATATATATATATGTATATATATGTATATACATACATACATATATATATATGTATGTATGTATATACATATATATACATATATATATGTATATATATATGTATATACATATATATATATGTATGTATGTATATACATATATATACATATATATATATGTATATATATGTATATACATATATATATATGTATATGTATATATACATATATATATATGGAGAAGTATTCAAATGAGAACACCTTCATTCTACGAGAACGCGAAAACATTCTTTTACTATAGACAATCACATGTGATATTATTATTCCATCACATGATATTATTATCCCATCACATATGATACACATGTGATACTAAATCAGAGACGCAGACGATTTTCGATGCGATTTTGGTTGCGGGCCAAGTCGCCCTTACACCACTAAGTCCCCTCACAAGTATTATCACATGTGATAAGTTTGTTTTTAATATGATACTATAATCCATCAAAACCATCACATGTGATGCTAAATCATAGACGCAGACAACCTTTGGCACAGCCTAAGTCATAGAACACGTCGTCCGCACATCACAGGGTCCCCTCACGCGTATTATCACATGTGATAAGGGTGTTCTTGTGTTCTCGTAAAATAGAAGTGTTCTTGTTTGAAAAATTAAATATGTTGCAAGAAGACGAGAATTTTAATATCATCAATGATTACATTTCTTTGGGTGTGTTTAATCATATATGATTAAACATCTTTGTATTGTCAATACAACATGTATTTAATTATTATAGAATTAAGCTTGTCTATCATGCATTCATGCGTGTAATCATATACTTCTCGAAAGAATCTTTATATATATATATATATATATATATATATGTGTGTGTGTGTGTGTGTACACGTATGTATGAAATTTTTTCCATTCAATTCGGTATTTTTGTAAGTTATTATTCATAATGAAAAATTAATAAAAAGACCACAATTTTCGACTAAAAAATATGTAAACAATGCAGGAGTTAGCAACGATGGCCAGATTCGCCATTTCTTTCACCGTCCTTCGAAGGCGTACACCACCGGCACCAGAAAGCGAAGAAAGGTGCACATGGACGCCGAAAGGGGTGAAACACGATGGCACAAAACCGGCAAGACTCGGCCCGTTTTGATCTCGGGTTCAATCGAAGGGTTCAAGAAGATCCTCGTGCTTTACACAAATTATGGCCGGCAAAAGAAACCCGAAAAAACCAATTGGGTAATGCACCAATACCATCTTGGCAACAACGAAGAGGAAAAAGATGGCGAAATAGTTCTCTCGAAGGTCTTCTACCAAACTCAGCCAAGAAACTGCGCCTCGGGAATCAAGGATTCGTCGTCAATAGACGAGAAAACCGACAGAAACCCTAAAATCAGGGATACGGGATTCGTTCAAAATTATAGCGTTGATTGTCCTAATTTTATATCTTATGATATTGATCATCGGAGGCAGATCAATAGGGAAATCCCGACTCGCGTTATCCCTAGTTTTGCTTTACCCGATGATCCGTCGTCATTTATTCGTCTACCAACCGGATCGAACAAAGAATCATGAGGAAGAAATTATTATAGGTAACAAAATGTTCGATTTCTTGTGTAGTTGATGAACAAGTTATGCTTTTGAGAGTCTCATAAGGACCCGTACATTTTTCGGGGTTCAGATTTCAAAGTCGGAATAATATTATACTTGTAATTGTTTTAAAAGTATATTATTAATAGGGTTAAGTTTTGTAATTTGGTTTTAATTCATTAGTAGGTGTATCATATAAGATAGAGGTGCTAAAAAACCCGACCAAACTGATCAACCCAACCCAACCCGAAGAAACTCGATGTCTAATCGAGTTGTAAAATTGTCAAACCGTAGGTTTTGGGTTGATATTGGTTACTATTATTTTAACTCAACCCAACCTGATAAACCCGATATCCTTTTATTTATTGGATTTAATATGATTATTGAATTTCTATTAATATATACATTACACAATTGCACTATCATATATGTCTTTTATATACACATATTTTCAATCTATTCACATCTCTATATAACTCATTCGTATATATGTTCAGAGTAAATTGAGAAAAAAATTGAATGTGATATACGTTAGAAATATGGATAAGTTGTATCAAATGGTTGATAATGAAAAAAAAATTTATTAGTAGAGAAATAACATATTCAAAGATAAAAAAATATTTTAACGTACCAAATTATCAATCCGAACAACCCGTACGGGTTGGGTTGGGTTGCACTTTGGTTTGGGTTGGGTTGGGTTAAGATTTTTTTCAAACCGTAAGCATTGAGTTGGATTGTTCAAATGTCTTCAACCCGATCAACCCAACCCATGAGCACCCCTAATATAAGATGTAAGTCATGAAATAATGATTCTACTTTTTTAAATCAGGGGCACATTATCAGTGTATGGACAACTGTCTCTCGAGCACAGGTTTCGGTTCGGCCTCAATGGGAAAATAAAATGGAACACCTAACACCTAATGAGTTGAAGATCATATCAACGGGTCTTTCATCTTTTCGTTTTCGCACTATTACGGATATGAAAATAATGGGAAAAATCGGGCAGGTTAGATAAAGGTTGTTGAGCTAAAAATATTCAGAACGTCGTTTTTATAGTTAAAAACTATCAAAATCTGGTCAGTCAGTCGGTCCTGATCCCCCACCAAAAATCTTAGGATTGGTCTTCCCGATCCGACATACGTCCTTGTCCCTGCACTGTTTTTAAAATTGTATATTTATTTTAAATCTTTTTACATAAAACTGTTATTATTTATTTTTTTAATTATGACTTTTGGAATTCAGTATCGAAAGACAATTTAAATATTGCATTTACTTGAAAAAAATCTTGAAATTTTTGTATTATAATTAATAATAAAAAATGAAAAATCGCTCTTATACAAAACTAGTACTGGTTCTCTAACCGGTTCCCCAGCTAAACAGGCCATAAAGTGCCCTTAACTTTGTAAACGATCACAATCAGTCTCGAACCAATGAACCAGTTATAAATTGGGGTTTATGGTTTAGTGTTTAGACCCTATCGTGACCATCTCCATTAAGCGAAACTCGTCAACGATGCGTTTTTTAACCATGACGAAAAGAGATGAAAGTTACAAAGCCCAATTAAATGGCCCATTAAAGGTTTGGTTCATAGGCTATAGAATCATTAGAGTGGGCTTCTACAATGGGCCGATTAATTTTACATTTTCAAAAAAATCACTCTCCACATTTAAATCAACTAGAAGGGTTTATACACAATGCAGCGAGATACATCTTGATTTTAATATTTTATTTTATTATTTATCTCAGTAGATGTTATAGTATGATTTTATGTGATTTTAAAAAAAACGATGATGTTTTAATTTTTAAATAATATATAAATTTGAAGATATCATAAAAATTTGACAAAAATATATCGATATTAGTATAAAATTAACTATTTAAAATTCATATTTTTTGTGTAATTTTTTAATTCAATTTTTTTTATTATAGTTTAATTTAGGATCAATAACGAAGTAATTTATATTTGTTTTAATAATATAATTTTCTTATAAAAATAATAATTAATTATTTTGTTAGAACTCGATAATTATTCTAATTATATTTTAAAATGAGATCTTTATCCTCTATATGATTATGTTTATCCGAAGTTAGTTACACGGATTCAAACATAGAGTTTTAATAAGTACAACTTATGTATAATTTACTTGTAATCTTGAATTTTAAGTAATATACATCAGTATACAGTATTTCATGCATAAAAAATGGTTTCCAAGAGTTTTTGTCAAATGATTTATAATATAGTATAGATTATAATTAAAGATTAACAGTAATAAGATGGATGTAAGATTAATAGTAATCAAATGTCCAGATAATTTCTTACACTTTTCATCTGAATTCATATTTTTATACAATTTTTGTTTTTTCAAAAAATAAATAAATTTATGTTTATTTTTTAATGTGTTTATCATATACAAATACATAAAACCTTCTAAATCATTTTACTTAAAAAAATCTAAATATCTGTGTAATAATAGTTTTTTAGTCGTATTAAATATATTGATAATTATGATGTTGTTTATCAAATACTTACTGGGTAAACGTTTAGCAGGTGTCACTTTACCATCGAGATGAGTATGACAAGAACATAAAATCTTACCCGGTAAAAAGCATAACAAAGACTGAGAATCTTACCTGATAAAGTGAGAGAGAAGATTTTTCCGGTACAATACGTTTACCAACAATTTAAAAGAATATAGGGAAATTTATTAAAATAGCCATTTTTTAAGGTTGGTTTCAATGTGTAGTCATTTTCTTTTCAAATTTATCAAAATAGCCATAGTTTTGCAAAACTCATGCCCACAATTACAGACCCAGCTAAAAGACAAAAAATATTTGCACTTTCTACCTCTGTCTGCAAAAAAATTAAATTTTTCACTCAGGCCCGTAAAAAAATTTACATTTCTCAACCAGGTACGCAAAAAAAATTACATTTTTCACCAGGTCCATAAAAAAATTGCATTTTTCACCCCAGATTCGCGAAAAAGAAATTAAAATTGCAGACATGGGCTATTTTGATAAACCTTGTAAATAAATGACTAAGGGGTTGTTTCTTTACCTCACCGGATGAATATGGTAAGGACTAAGGGGTTGTTTCTTTACCTCTTAATAGTTCCATTAAGAGACAACTTCTAAATCGTTAAGAGGTTAATCTTGTTTGACAAAAAAAGTTTGTCTCTTAATGGTTCTAAAAACCTTTGAATGGTTTTGTATCATGAGTCTCCCTTAACCATTCAACACCTTAATTTTATTCTAAACAATTATCAAACAATTATATTTCATTTTACACTATATAATGAGAGCCTCTTAATCATTTCGACCACTTAATCATTTTGCACCAAACCATTCAGCATCTGTCAAACAACCCCTAAGAATCTTACCTGGTAAGAGCGAGACAAATACCATGAGTCTTAACTGGTAAATGAGGACGACGACTCTTACCATGAAAAACGCTTACCAAATGAATTATTGCATACAATGTCGTTTTGATAAATTAAAATCTTGTCCGGTAAATAAACAATAGTGTTAAATTTATTAATTGACGGGAACTAAATTAAATATTTTTATTTATTCAAAACAATTAAAACTTGATATCTTTTTTTAATATATTTTAGGTTTTCCGATCAGAAAAGAAATCCCAGAAGTCTGTCACTGATTGGACGATTATAACTACGAAAATTCCTCAATATCGCCGTCACTCGGTCCCCAATACACTCACCGGTGACGTCCGTCTCTGCGTCACTCCGTTGACGTTGAAGTCGTCTCTTCTTTCTCTATATAACCACCACCGTCTCCTCCTCCTCCTCCCTCCTCCCTCTCCTCCACCTCCTCTCTCTAAAAAAATCCATTCAGACCATGCAAAAAACACTCTCTGTTCCCACCTCCACCGCAGCCGACGGCGGTGGAACTGAAACAACCAATGCCACCACCGGAACTGATTCGATACCCGTCGGTGAACTGGTGGCTGGAAACGCAGTGATGGTGTTTGGGCAACGTGGGTGTTGCATGTGTCATGTTGTGAAGCTTCTGTTGTTAGGGTTAGGAGTGAACCCTACAATCTCCGCCGTGGATGAAGGAGATGTGGCGGATGTAATTCATCAGTTATCGAAAATCTCCGGGGAAGACGACGGAGAGATGATAGAGTTTCCGGTGGTTTATGTGGGTGGGAAGTTGTTTGGTGGATTAGAGAGGGTGATGGCTACACATATCACCGGTGAATTGATTCCCATGTTGAAGGAAGCCAAAGCTCTTTGGCTTTGAGTAATTTGACTCCGTCTTTTAATTTTTGGACTTTTTTTAATTTATTAGTTTTATTATAAAATATTTGACAAAAAAAACTGTTGAAAACCATTTTTGTGGATAAATTACTATTTATTAATGCATATTACTTAAACTTTAAGATTTCAAGTAAATTGTGCGTAAATATAATTTATTAAAGCTTCATGTTTGTATTCGTGTTACTAATTATAGATCGATAAACATAATCAAATACATGATAAACATCTCATCTTAAATATAAAAAAGCTAAAATATAATTAAGATAATAATTGAATTCTAAACTAAGCCTAAATTAAGTTACTAATAAAAAATTGAATTAAAGATATTTTACACAAAAAATGAGAACTTTAAAATAGTTAATTTGATACTAATATCGATATAGTTTTTTCAAAATTTTATATTATCTTCAAATTTATATTTTATTTAAAAATAAAAATATTATCATTTTCTCAAACCATATAAAACCGTATTATATCAACATAGACAAAGATTAAAACGATACATTAAAATCAAGACGTATGTTGCTACGTGTGAGTACCCTTCTAGTGTGTGTGTGTGTGTGTGTGTGTGTGTGTGTGTGTGTGTGTGTGTGTGTGTGTGTGTGTATATATATATATATATAGGGGCAGGTTCAAATGCAAACCATCTAATTCTAAAAAACCGTGTAAACCAATTTCGACCAATAAGAAAATTCCATTTGTTTTTAATTAAATTTAATTGATAAGGGTATTTATGTCATTTTACACAACTTTTTGATAATTAATTACATTTTATTTAAGGTAATTTAATAAAAGAAAGTATGAAAATGGTAACGTTTCAAACTTTTATTATACTATATTATTAAAAT